CCACCGTAATATTTACGATGCTAGCAATGGCCAAGTACGGCCAATTGCTGACCAAAAGGAATCAAGAGAGAAACTGCCTCGAGCAGGTTGAGGACGATTGGCAAATAGTCAACTCGCACAATCGCGATGTGATGATCGATAAGGCTAGAACAGGCAGACGTTTGCTGATAATATGCGCCCTATTCATGTACTCCACTGGAGTGTCTTTTCGGACAATTATACCGTTGTCCGCCGGAAAGATCATTACTGAACAGAATTTCACGGTCAGACACCTACCGTGCCCGACTTACTTTGTTTTATTCGATGTGCAGCTTAGCCCCGCTTACGAGATCGTATTCCTTATGCAGTTCTTCTCTGAATTCGTAAAATGTACGGTCACAACGGCGATATGTGGTCTTGCGGGTCTCTTCGTGATGCACACTTGCGCACAGCTGGACATACTGATGATCCTGATGAATAATCTGGTAAATAAATGTGAACTTAAAAATGTGAACGAAAGATTGGCCGCTATCGTAAAGCATCAGATCAAAACGCGAAAGTAAGACTAATTTTACAAGTATCTTTAACGAATATGTTTGTTAATAGTTTAATGTTTTAATTGAAATCTATGTGTAAAAAGACGTTGTGATTAATTCATATCCAATGAATTGTTCAATAAATAAGATTCTTTACAAATGTACTTAATTATTGATTACACTTGTTTTCATTTTTGTGTAAAAATATAGAGAATCTTATTTATTGTACAATTATATAATATTTCTTGTTTTAGTTATAAGCAAACTTTTGAAAAACAAAATTTATTTTTTTCTACGATCATTTTAGTTTCCTTCAATCAGTGCAGAACACCATACAATATACAAGTCTAATGGAAATTATGGGATGCACCATAATTGTGTGTCTCTTAGGATATTTTGTTATCATGGTGCGCATAAAATGAATATTTAGCGACAATAATTTCAGTGATAGAGTATTAAAGATATCGTAATATGTAAAATATATAAAATGCACAGACTCAGCAAGTATCATAAAAATAAATACAATATAATCGTAATTTACAGGAATGGGAGGATAACAATGCTGTAGCTCTATGTTCGTATCTCGTTGGACTCACATCGATTAGTTTCAACATTTTTATCTTTTGCTTTATCGGTGAACAACTTTCGACGAAGGTATGCTATCGCTTTATCGAAGTAATAATTAGCATTTATCAATTAATGCGAGCATTATTTTTTTTATTAATAATCTACTTTGTGTAATTGATTAAATTAGGGAGAAAAAGTGGCATTAACAGCATGCACATTGGAGTGGTACCGTCTTCCGGACGCGAAAGCGCGATCGCTAATACTAATTATGCTCATGTCGAATCCTCCGACAAAAGTTAGAGGAGGAAAATATTTTGATCTTTCCTTCAGGACATTCGGCAACGTAAGTAACAATATGTTGAAAAAAAA